GAGGTTTGCTCAAAGGGAATGTAGCAACACATTTTCACAGTGTTCCATGCAGGACTGCAATCACTGCATCCAGGAGTCATATTCCAAGGCTGCAGGGAGAAAGTCTCAAAAAAAATTCTGACATCTCCCTCTCTTACCAATCTTGAGAATCTGACCTCCCAATATGAGTTTTAGATGAAAAAGAACCTCAAGTCTCTTGGTCCAGGACATGCATCACCCCTGCACAGTTCACAGGCTCCTGCTCCCTATACGCCCCCTGCTTTCCTTTCTCCCTGGATGATCTAATAATTCCTATAACTTTTAGTACTTCCTGCACAAAAACAAACCAGAGTGCTCTGGATGTGCATTTGCCGTGCCTTATCACTTATGATTAGTTACTTGATGAAATCTTAAGTTCAACACACCATTCAGTTCAACGTATGCTTTCTAGAACCTCTTTTTCCATCAAGTGAGGGGCTCGGTGGTGTGGTTGCTCAAGCCAGAAATTGGCCTGTGGTCGCACCTCTCATTGATGCTGACTAGATCCAATCACTGACCAGGTCTGTCCAGTTTATCCCTGAAACATCTACTGAGCCTGAATATTCACTCTCCTCTTTCCCCTGCCACCATGTTGCCCAGGAAACCGTCAGCTCTCAAGTGCAGTAAAGCCAGAGATTCCTGACCAGTCTTCTGTGTCCAAATAGAAGCCAGAAAACTGCCCAAAAATGCACTTGCTGCTACTTGAGCCTTTAATTTCTTTTACTGCTTTTGGAATTAGGAAAAAATCGGGACTTGGTCTTCAAAAACTCGTCTCATTTAAATTTTCCAGCTTTGCCCATAGACACATTTCTTCTTCATCCTAGCCCAGCTATTCTCAACTTCTTTTCTCCTCAGAGGTGAAGAGTTCCTCGGCCTCTGTAAGTGCTGGACTCTCTGACATTCATTTGACTTCTTGCTTTAGCAAATATCCCACCTCCATTTTTAGCAGATGCAACCCTAAGAACATTGTCTGACATCCTCATGATGGCCTGGTTTCCTGAACTGGTAAGAACCTTTGTTTAAATACATCTGCAAGATCTACTCTTATAACACTATCTGTCTCGCTCTGGACAAGAGTTTAAACTCTCTTGGCTTTTTCATTTGTAAACTGGGGATAACTGTATCACGCTTTTGAGGTCATTGTGAAGATTATTATTAACACATATTAGTATGTGTAAAGCATTTGGAACAGTATGTGGTATCTGATATAGACTGATATAAAAATTGCCATCATGACTCTCATCATCTCAGTGGTCATCAGCTCCACTGATACTGTCTTCTCTCCATCTTATTATCAGTACATCATCATGAGCGCCATCTTCTTCACCATCACTGCCATCATCATCATAATATATCCATAACCACTCATCAGGTCCCATCATCTTTTCCAATTGAAAAGTACCTGGTGTTCATCTTATTGTCCCATGGAATCTAGGTCTTTGCCTACAGTATTTGATAGTCTACCATCATGCAGGTTTCAATAAACATTCCTTGCATAATGAATGGAATGGAATCTTAAAGCCCTATGATGATAAAGATGGAAACTATAAAGGTCAGTCACTACCTGATTCCTATACCTTTGCCACAGGTTTCTCATTTCAATTCAAACTATTTATTGAGCATTAAGTATGTACCAGACATTATTCTAGGTGCCAGGGATATACAATGAATAAGATAGATTCTTCCCTGCAGGGGATTAATTATAAAGCATTTACCAAGTAGAAACAGAGTACAGTTCGTCTATATTTTTACTACCTTAGGGAGGCCCTATAATAAGATAAAGAATGAAAACCCAGCAGCAGGTACGTTCTTTCCAACCTTGAGATTCAAAAAGAAAGATGTTGGCTCTGTGAAAAGGCAGACACTTTGGACTGTAATTAAGGATTTGAAACATTCAAATAAAGCCCTTGGCAAAATCTGTCACATGGTAGATGCTCACTAAATGATTACAGTACAGAGGCTGAAGGTATGTGACAGAACACTGCAAGCAAGCATTACAGGCCTTCACCAAGTAAAGCTTTGGTCTTTTCCAAAACATTTTCAATATGGTCCCTGAGTCCTACCAGGAATAAGCTCTGAGCACAACCAGGTATGACCCCCCAAAACTATTTATGTATATGTGTGTGTGTGTGTGTGTGTGTGTGTGTGTGTGTGTGTGTGTGTAGCTTGCCAGACTTTGCTGTGCGGGCGGGATACTCTCAGTAGTTTGCTGGGCTCTCTGAGAGGAGCCAAGGAATCGAACTTGGGTCAGCTGCGTGCAAGGCAAACGCCCCACCTGCTATGCTATCACATATATATCCTAGGGCATATGTTATATATAAATTGGACTTTCACTTATTACACGAGTGAAATTAGAAAAACTAGAGCCCCAAAAGCCCAAAAGGAAAGAAAGAGAAAGAGAAAGAGAAAGAGAAAGAGAAAGAGAAAGAGAAAAGAGAGTTGCTTTGTTAGCACAGTAAGTAGTACTTCAGTCTCATAATCTGAAGAGAAAGAGAAAGAAAAAGAGAGAGAAGAAAAGTGCCTGTCATAGAGGCAGGCAGGGGTGGGGTGGGTGGGAGAAAAATCGGGACCACTGGTGGTGGCAAACATACACTGGTGAAAGGACGGGCGTTGGAACATTATATGACTGAAATCCAATTGTGAACAACTTTGTAAACTGTGTATCACTGAGGTTCAATTAAAAAAAATTTAAAAAAGAAAACCCAGAGCCAAATATACTGCTCACAGATCCTGGGCAGGGAAAAAAAAAGGAAAGGGAAGGAAAGTGGGAAGAGAAGAGGGGATGGAGAAAGGATCAAATACGCTTTGGATTGAGACATCAAGTGTGGAGAGGAGCTGGCTTTGGATGAATGTTCGGGGGATAGGCCTAGTGCACCCTGAAATAAGGTTGTTGTCAGAAGAATCTCTTCCATCAGGTCCTGCCCCTCGTCCTAAAGGCATCCCTGTCACAAAGGGTCCGTTTGTTTTGTGGGGATGTTGGGTGGAAGTCCCACCTTCCTGCCTGGCCAGTAGTGTTTGCCTGGAAAGTAGTGTTTTCCAGGTAAGCATCTATCTTATTCATTGCCAGGGATATCCTGGCACCTCGAATAATGTCTGGTAACGTAGTTAATGCTCAATAGATAGTTTGAATTGAAATGAGAAACCTATAGCAAAGATACAGAAATTAGAAATTTGAGTTTCTGTCTTCCACTAAGCTAAGTGCAGAAATTACGGAACATAAGGCATTCGCAGCAAAGCCCACAGGGTAGTGACCACAACACGCATCCTACCCAGGTGCCCAGGAACAGGGGCTGCTAGCCCAGCTTTCAACACCAAGAACCAGTCACAACCAGGACACCCTCTGTCTTAATCGATTTGACCATATCAATCACAATTATCCACTGGAATTGCTGTTAATATATTACAAAGCTTCCTGGTAAACAAAAGTAGGGTGGCTAAACAATTCCCCTGGTTTCTTGAGAGGAATGTCTTAGATCACATAAAAAAGTAGACTCTGCAACGACCAGGGTGCTATCACTCATGTGCCACAAAAGCACTGTTCTCCCGTTGTTCATCGATTTGCTCAAGCGGGCCCAGTAACGTCTCCATCATGAGACTTGTTGTTACTGTGTTTGGCATATCCAATATGGCACGGGTAGCTTGCCAGGCTTTGCCGTGCAGGCGAGATACTCTCTGTAGCTTGCCAGGCTCTCTGAGAGGGGCAGAGGAATCAAACCTGGCTCGGCCAGGCTGGCTGCGCGCAAGGCAAACACCCTACCGCTGTGCTATCTGCAAAACCACAGCTCAACACATAGTTGAAGCGCCTCCACTTTCCAGTTAGGGCGCTGGAGTGCAGCAGGTAAGGCACTTGCTTTGCACACACCTGGCCTGAGTTTGATCCCTCGCACTCAAATGGTGCCCAAAGGACGGTCAGGAGTGATCTCTGAGCGCAGAGTCAGGAGTAATTCCCGTGCACTAACAGGCGTGCCCCACCCCCAACAACAAAAAAAAAACACCTCCCCATTGCAACAAATCAGATGAGCCTCTGCCTGCAGTTCTTAGGATAGTGACAGTCCAAGGATGACACTGAGATCCTGATCGCTAACCCAGTAAGATAACACAGTAAGATAAGGACGTTATAGATAGAAAACTGTAATTCAAGACCTACAAATGCCAGAATAACTTTTTTTCCCAGTGCGAGGCATCAGATCAAGGGCCTCCTGCACAACCCGTGCTCTACCACTAAGCTCCACCCCTAGCCATACAGTACTTTTTTATACACTCATTCTCTCAAAAGTGTGAGTGTTCTTTACAGACCTCTTAGAGGGACAGACACAAAATGACTGTACTCATTTTGGGGATATAAAAACATAGCATGAGACTATTACCCAAGGACAGTAGAAATGAGGGTCACGAAGACTGGTCCACAGTTGGAAGTTTGCCACAAGGCAGGGGGAAGAGGGCAGTGAGAATAGACAAGGGGCCACTATGACAATGATAGTTGGAATAATCACTCTGGACAAGAACTGAGTGCTGAAAGGAGGTAAAAGAATATACATAACCTTTCAGTAGCTGTACTACAAACCACAGTGCCCAGAAGGAAAGAGAGAGACAGAGAGAGAGAGAGAGAGAGAGAGAGAGAAGAAAAGTGCCTGACAGCAGACTGAGCAGACTGGGGTTGGGGGATGGAAGGAGGGAAACTGGGGACACTGGTGATGGGAAATGTACACTGGTGAAGGGACGGGTGTTAGAGCAGAGTATGACCGAAACTCAGTCATGAGCAATTTTGTAACTGTGTATCTCCTAGTGATTTAATAAAATTTTTAAAGAAAGATCTTTACACACACACACACACGTGCACGCACACAAACACACACACACACACACACACACACACACACACACACATGCACGCACACACAGAGGCAAACACATACACATACATTCATCCTTCCCATTTCTCCTATTCCCCAACCTGGAACAATAAAGTCTCCAAAACTCTATTCAAATTAAGCATCAGATTTATTGGCCGTCTCTGTTATACGAGGAGGTCGAAACATCTCGGTAGAGGACATCCGAGACTTGTTTTGGTTCTCTTGTCTGGAAAGACCAGCGCCCGGCAGAGGTGACGGGTGAGGGCGGCAGCGGAAGCTGACTTCGGCGGTTCCCATCCCTGGGTGATTCATTCCACGGTCCAGGGGAACTCGTGTTTGTTTGTTCCTTTCATAGCAGTTTCCGCTTTTCAAATTCCTTCAAACACAGAAGAGAAAGAAGAAGGGAAGGGATAAGAAGGGGAAAGATTCAATTTATATTCATGGCCAAACTGATTCAAAAACCTTTTATAAACTTCTGAACATCCAAAAATTACAGAAATAAAATGTGCTAGGCTGAAGGTGCTTTCGCATTAGTCTATGTCCATTTTGAATTTTATTAATCTTGATGCAGAGCTTCCACGTCTACGTTGCAGAAATGCACAGGATGCGAGACTTTAAATTGTATGTAATTTTCCTACTGCAGAATTACCAACAGGAGCTGACAAAAGTGACTGTAATATTCAAATTTTTAATATTATACATGAACTATACCGTCCTTTTAAATAAGACAATGAAAACAGATTTATTTAGCTTCCCAGAGAATAAAACTTGCTAATAATCATGTTTAGTAAGTATTTGAACAAAATGTCAAGAACCTTAGAAATACGCGAAAAGAAAAATATGGAAATTCCCATTTCTCTATTGCGAGAATTACAGTCTCACAAAATGTACGGGAACTTGCTGCCACCTGCTGGAGTAAAAATGGTACCACACGCCTTTAAGGATGAATTTAAGAATCTGCTTTTTCTTGCCATCTTTAAAATAAAATTCATCTTCACACACTCACTAATCACCCAGACTTCTTTCAAACACAGTGCCATAGTCCAAAGTCAGGCTCATAAAAATGATCCACAAAAAGGGGTTCTGGGATCTGGAGCAATAGCACAGCGGGTAGGGCATTTGCTTTGCATGCAGCCAACATGGCCGACCCAGGTCCAATTCCCAGCATCCCATATGGTCCCCCGAGCACCGCCAGGAGTAATTCCTGAGTGCATGAGCCAGGAGTAACCCCTGAGCATCGCCGAGTGTGACCCCAAAAAGCAAAAAAAAAAAGGGGGGTTCTATCTCATTATCCCTAAGGCAAGGGCAAAGAAGGTTGTGTCAAAACACTGTTCCCCTTGAGGATACAATATATGCCTCTTTTCAGCATCCTGAGTTGTTTCGTTTTTAATTTTTTTGTTTGCTCTTTTTTGCCAATATTATAATCTTACAAAAATTAAGAAACCTAAGTGTCCAAAGAGATAAGATAAAAATCCTTACTTAGCTGGGGGCTAGAAGAGAGACAGTATGGCCTTAGCACCTGCCTGACCAGACCCTACTCCATATACCGTAAGGCACCCACAAACCCCCTGGCTATGACCCGCAGAGAGAGAGAGATGCAGTGGCCTGGTGTTCCCAACACTGTAGGGCTGAGCAGAATTGCCTTCTTGGGCCCTTGCCCTGAAACCCTGGTCTGGTTGACCAAGAAGGGCCAATCCACGGGCCCCTGGGCTCCATAACACACAGTGGGACCGTCTCCCACAATAAAGTCAATATAAAGAGAATATGGAATACACCAAATCATCTGAAATCTTAAACCACTGTGTTCTATTGAAAAAAATGATCAAATTGGTTGAGAAGTTAAAGCCCCAATCCATAACAATAAGGGTATCACAACATAGTGAGAACCAGAAAATAAAGACTGAAATCCACCACCATCTTCTTAGATCTGTCTACCTTGATGCCTCCTCATCTCGTTTCCCTGGTACTCAGCCAGCATCCCTTCTCCCACCCAACAGAAACCTGCTTGTCATGGCAGCTATACAAGCCCGAAGACTGGGCATAAAAATAAAAACTAACACTCAAAACACAAGACAAGGCTTTGTACCCTAAAATGGAACATGGGACTTATGGACCCCAATGCACTCTACACCACATCTCTCTACTCATAAAAGAGAGAATTCCAGTGTTTTAAATCAGAAGATTTCCATTAGAATGCTACTACTGGTCACATCCAAGGAGGACAGTCGAATGGCAACAGAGCAGCTACAGCTGTGCATCAAATACACACGGATCAGACCAGAGAAAAAGAACCTGGTTTCCAGGCCCCCACCGCGGTCCCAGGCAGTGAGGCCCCTGACTTTGGGGTACGTGGCCCACATGCATAGCTCACCTTGTAGATGGTGGTCCCCAGCTGTGCTGGAGACATGCTGACAACGACGCCGGCACTCTGGAGGGCAGAGATCTTCTCCTTGGCACCACCTTTTCCTCCAGCAATAATAGCCCCCGCATGGCCCATCCTCCGGCCAGGAGGAGCCGTCAAACCAGCAATGAAGGAAACAACAGGCTTGGCTTTGGGACCCTGGAGAGGGATGTTTCAAAGCTTAATGAAGAAAGTAGCAAGTGCCTCAAATCCAGGAATGCCAAATCAATGGCAAATAGCTAGGGCAGGGCACTGTGTTTGGCCTAAGAAAACCAACACAAATATTAAACTATGGTCGAAATCATAGCATTTGCCTTTGAGACGGCTCAAATGTGCAGACACAGGCAGTAAAATTAGTCAAACTTTTTTTTTTTTTTTGGCTTTTTGGGTCACACCCGATGATGCTCAGGGGTTACTCTGTACTCAGGAATCACTCGCAGTGGTGCTCTGGGGACCATATGGGATGCTGGGAATCGAACCCAGGTTGGCCACATGCAAAGCAAACAGCTGTACCTGCTGTGCTCCAGTCCCTAGAGTCAAAGTGTTAACATCTAGCAACTAAATCTTAACGTCACTGGCACAAGGTGTTTTACAAATACCTACGTGACTCATATGGAAAAAATCAGCACACTTGAAAATGTTTGTGATTCGAGATCATTAAGAAAATTTAAGGGGCTGGAGCTATATAGTACAGTGGGTAGGGAGCTTTCCTTGCATGCGGTCGACCCGGGTTCAATACCCAGCATCCCATATGGTCCCCGGAGCACTGCCAGGAGTAATTCCTGAGTGCAGAGCCAGGAATAACCCTTGAACACCACCGGGTGTGACCCAAAAAGCAAAAAAAAAAAAAAAAAGAAAGAAAGAAAAAGAAAATTTAAGACACAAGATCAAGCTACTTTGTTTCAACCTGATTACATACCTTAATCTACCTTAGCCCACCCTTAACAAAGTAAAAGATGAGGGAGAGGGGGACACTGGGAAGGGCCATGAGGAATAACCAGCCTCAGTGTCCTGCTAACTGAGGGGACACAGTTCTCTTCTCTGCACTCACTTCCTCATCTGAGAAAGAAAATGGCAAAACCACACCCAAGGCCAAGGGCCACACCCAAGACCAAGGGCCCTGTCTCCTCAGGAATTCTACAAAGTCTAGGGAGGAAGATCAGGATTGGTTTGATGCAGCAAAATTCCATCTTTGGTTATTCAAACAGTGTGAACACAAGCCGACAGGACTAGTTTCTGAGGGTGAACCCTCCCCCACATGAAATACAAATATTCCTGCTCTAGATATTTATCACATTATAGACATACAAATACATTTTAATATAGCACTGCCCTGTAGCACTGTACTCCCATTGTTCATCGATTTGCTCGAGCGGGCACCAGTAACATCTCACAACAAATTGTGAGACTTGTTGTTACTGTATTTGGCATATTGACTACATCACAGCTAGTAGCAACAAATCTCACAATTTGTTGTGAGACGTTATTAGTGCCTGCTCAAGCAAATCGATGAACAACGGGAGAACATTTTAATACACACACTATAAACACCACAATCTAAAATGTGTAGGCATCCATTAGTTTAGAGATCTCCTAAAGCAACATCTAATCATAGGGCCAAGTTCCATATGAAAGAAAATACCAGGTCTGTAGGTAGGACGCGGGCAATGAGGGTTGCAGGAAACAAGTGGACTCTCAGTTACCATCCAGCAGCAGCTCCCACAGTCCGTGGGACCCCTTGCAATACTGAGTAGTAACTCCCTGAGTAACCAATTACTGAGGATTCAAAACAATTTTATAAAAGCTAATGTTTACTATGTCAGAAATTTGAACAGACACATGTATTAAAAATAACGCTTTTAAACTGTATTTTAAGATAGCCTTCTAGTGAGATGCTAAGTTGTACAAATTACATTTTTGCAGTCGAATGTCTGAAGAAAAGACAAATGAACTCGCTACTTGCTTTTATATTCCACCTACTCTGATTTATTATTCTGACTGAAGTGCAAGAAGAATGGCTGGCCTCACATGTATATAACTGGAAAACTTTTAAACAGGATTTTAATGGTCAGATAATTGTAGATATTTTTCTTTTATCTTTTGGGGAGCTTGGGTGACACACAGCTGTGCTCAGGGCTTACATCCTGGAACTACAGATATTTCTCTATATTACACAAACCTATTTAAGGAGTAGTATCTCTCTCTCTCTCTCTCTCTTTCTCTCTCTCTCTCTCTGTTCTAACTGAAAGAATCATTTACTGTCATTAATCAAAATCTAGACAATTTGATCATTTAAGGTTGGACTCAAAATTTCATAGCAGGAAGTGGTGCGTCTGGTGGTGGGCATGGTACAGGAACAATGAATGCATAAAAGTATCATTAATGGAGCTGTAAGTAATGGGACCAAGTGAAAAATGGAAACAAAAAAAATCGTCAGAGGCACAGAGCAACCCCTGAGCACTGTCAAGCACTAATCTCTTAAAGGTCAAACGTAATATTGGAATCCAAAACCACAGCGATGAACTTTTTGTCCTTTGTAACCTTTAAAATTCATTGGTCTGTCCTGCCCCCAGTGGGTCTTTTACCTGTGATAATTTTATAACTCATATTGGTCACATAAAAATGTCCACTCGCTGAGTTACCTATCACCTCCATCTGCTGACATGTCTCATCATTCACTATCAGTAAGTCACATTTTCAGCATCACCATCCATGACATCAGAAAAGTTCTGATGGAGCCTGAGCAACAGGACAGCGGGCAGTGTGCTTGCCCTACATGTGACTGACCTGTGTTCAATCCCCGGCACCCATAGGGTCATCCCCCACTCTCACCCCCATCTCTGCCAGGAGTGATCTCTGAGCACAGAGCCAGAAGTTAACCCTGAGCATTACTAATTGCGTCCCCATCCCTTCCCCCCCAGAAGCTGATCCTTTAAGATCAGCTGAGATAGGACAGAAGGTCGGGCACTTGCCTTACATACAGCTGACCTGGATTCCATTATACTGGTTCCACATATGGTCCCCAGAGTACCACAGGAGTGATCCCTGAGCACAGAGCCAAGAGCATGCTCTGATGCCCTTGGGAAGGGGGGCTGAATACCCGCCTGCAAAGTCCTGGCAGTCACACTCACACCCAACAGCTGCTGCCATGCCAACAGCCAGACCCCACTGTCTCACGATTGAGCTCTGCAGAGATGCCAAACTGGCCCTAGATTACAGAAATAAAAAGCCCAGGGTAGGAGTGAAGGGGTGAGGAAGGGGAAGCAGCACCAGATGGGAGGTAACGGGCAAAATTCGGAGGTGCAGAGTGGTGATACACATCTATATCTAAACCACAGTTGAGATAAAATGAGGGCCTGCCAAGCAAAGACACGAATTGAGGGTGATACTCTGAATTTCGAGATACTATCACGATCTCAGTGACAGAACTCTTGTAATGAAACAGAAACTAAAGGATCAAAGAGAAGTATCAGAGATTTCTGACATGGCAACTGCATGAAGTGTGAACTTGTTCATAGACAATAATCTTTCACACTCAAGGAATAGGTACAGAAAGGAAATCTGTGAAAAGATAAAGAGAAGAATGGGAAGAAACATCAAACGGGTGAAGAATAAACCAAGGTCTCTGGTGGTCTCCCCAAAAGTACTGTCAGGAGCGCAAGACTCAGCAGACACAGCTTGAGAAACGGCTCCATGTGAGTGTCCGCTGGTGGCTGGTGACTGCTTTATGCTGCTGAGTCACTTAAACTTACAGTCCTAGGGATTCTGGGAACATTGGTGGTGGAAAATGTGCACTGGTGGATGAATGGGCGTTCGATCATTGTATGACTGAAATTCAAACATGAAAGCTTTGTAACTGTACCTCACTGTGATTCAATAAAAAAAAAAAAAGAAACCAAAAAAAAGTGTCATGCTTACCCCTCAAGACAAAACTGTAAGGCACTATTGTATCCTGATTTCACCAACAAGGAAACTGAGGCCTTTAATAACTTGCTGAGAGTTTAATAACTTGCTTAAGATCTAAGCAACAGAAGTCAGATTACTGAAGACTATGGAATGCACAGAAAGTAAAGGGAAAACTCCAGATATTAGAAAATCTGACTCACTTCTTACACCACACCCAGAGTTTAAAAGCACCATAGAAGAAAGCCAAGCATGAGAAAAAGACCCTTTGAAAACCTCAGTCGCACGTAAATATGCAGCTTTAGGAATATAACTTCTAGGTGATGTGTTCCTTGAACTCTCTGATTACCCTTCTGTGGCAGTTAGCAATTCCATCCCTCCACCGCTCTCCCAAGCAGAGAGAGTTAACTCTACCCTCTGCCTGGCCTCCTCAAGATACTTCTTCAGTCACTTGACAATGTTGAGAAAATTCTGGGAATCATCTGAACACTAGTCCCTATTTCCCCTGTTTCTGAGACATCCCCTGCTTCCTTAGCCCAGAAATAAAGAGTAATTCCCTTACGCTAAATATAACATGATGCAACTACACAGAACCCTTTACACTTAATTCTAGGGCGGCATCCTAGGATGGAGGCAATAGAGCTTCTCTTCTTGCCCCTGAAAGGAAGTGCTTTGTACGCCAGAAGCACGGACTACAAGAGAGGTCCCAGAAAAGTGTACAAATGGAACTTTTGAGGTGGAGCGATAGCACAGCGGTAGGGCGTTTGCCTTGCACGCAGCCAACATGGCCGACCCAAGGTTGATTCCTCCGCCCCTCTTGGAGAGCCCGGCAAGCTACCCGTGATGTATTCAATATGCCAAACACAGTAACAACAAAGTCTCCAATGGAGACGTTACTGGGCTCGCTCGAGCAAATCGATGAACAACGGGAGAACAGTGACAGTGACAGATTAAGAGAAAAAGAACACCGATTTTAGGTCAAAACACAAATCTGCAGGGCAAGTGGGAGCTTCCAAGTCAAGGGAGCGAATATTTCCCACTCAGCTGCAGACCACTTACCTTTCATCGAAGTATGGGGAAAGGTAAAGAAGGATGAAAAGAGAACAGGAGTGGTGCAAAATAGGGGGGAAACACTCCAAATAACTAAGTTTTCTGAGTGGTGATACTGAAAGCCCAGATCAGAAAGTTTCTTAAGTTTTCTTTTAAAAAATTAATCTCAGGGACTGTGACAGTAGAGAGCCAAGGGCACTTGCCTTGCATGTGGCCAACCCAGGTTCGATTCCCTGCACGCCACATGGTCCCCAAACCCTGCCAGGAGTGATCCCTGAGCACAGAGGCAGGAATAAGCACTGACCACTGTCATATGTGGACCCCCTCAAAAACAAGTTAAAAATAAATTTAAAAATCAATCTCTGGAAAACTAAGAACAGTCCCTAAAACAAGCCCATGGTGTACTATTCAAGCACCAAGAGATGTACTTTTCTAAATAAATACTCACTGAATTATGCTTCTTCAGAAATTCTGCAGCATTTTCTTCGGCATTACCACCAATTTCACCAATCAGTATGATACCTTCTGTGGCTGGGTCATTCAGAAAGATTTCAAGGCAATCAATAAAATCTGTTCCATTAAATGGATCCCCTCCGATGCCTGAAAAGGTCAAAGTGCACCAATATTATCATATGATGTAAGAAAGAACTAAGAAATTTAAGAACCTTACTCTTTTGCAGTTGGTTTCTCGCCAATATTTTTCAATGTATCATCAGAAGGGCTGGAGCGATAGCACAGCAGGTAGGGCGTTCGCCTTACAAGCGGCCAACATGGCCGACCCGAGTTCGATTCCTCCGCCCCTCTCGGAGAGCCCGGCAAGCTACCGAGAGTATTCGATATGCCAGACACAGTAACAACAAAGTCTCCAATGGAGACGTTACTGGGCCCGCTCGAGCAAATCGACGATCAACGGGAGGGCCATCAGTTTTGCATCTAGCACTTAAAAATCACAAAATGCTACGTTTTACTTTAGTTCGGATTACATGAATAATGAATGCTGGTTGACACAGTATTTGATGCCTCTTTTTGTTTTGTTTCTTGTATCAAACCCCTTCCCTCCTGCTCAAATTCCCACACAACTCTTCAAAAACAAGCAATTTAAGGGGCCAGGGAGATAGTTCAAAGAGCTTCTGAGAGCCTGTTCAGAAGTGGGAGGTGAGGGGTTTTGTCCGAAGGCCTCCAAGCCCCACCAGGAGAGACCACTGAGCTCTGCATGGAGAGCCCCCTCAAACTCCATCAAGTATTGCCCCAAAACTAAAACCAAAAATAATTTTCATTTTAAGAAAATGCATCAGATGAGACTTTTTCGCTTCCTAACCCTTTCTTTGTGCAACGTGCCCAGTTAATGAGGCACGCTGCAGAGAGCCACTCCCGGGCTGGACGAGTCAGTGAGGGGCTGTGCCACCTCTTCCTCCAAAGGCAGCTCGGTGATGGCATAGGGCCGTCATGTAAGAGCAGACATCTGGACTGGCAGCCACAGACTGGATGCCACTCATCTTGATTTTTAGGTTACAACCTACTTCTCAAAAGCAGGAATCGTTTCCTACTTTTCAACGAAAGCCTGAAGAACGAAGTTAGGGGAGGGAAGTTAACATTTATGAACTGCCATGTTCCTGGCAAGTACCTACTAAAGGTGAGACCTGCCATTTCTAAATGCTCACTTCGCCTGTAACAACGGCATCGCTACTCTCAGCTGACAACCCAAACTCAAAACTGGAGAGGATGGAATGGCCAACACTGTTTCAAAACAGTTTCTATTCTCCAGCTCATTAAGTTACCCTGTGGCTTAAGACTGTGCTCACACACAAAGAAGTTCAAATTGCTGTCTCCGCACTGATTTCATGGGCTTGAGTCTTAATTCTAATGCTATTATAGTTTTTAATTATAAAAATGTTTTTAAAAATATAGTCTAAGATTTTGAAGAAATATTTACAGGTATTTAATGGAGTAAAAGTGAGAACTCTACCTTGCTTATGGAACTTATCTTAAAACATAAAAACATTTTTCCTTTCCAGAGCAGAAGACAGGCTGGACAAGGAATGGCAGGGTCGAATGCATGCATCACATACATGAAGCCCTGGACTGGATTCCCCCAAACATACAGAAACAAAAGAAAAGGCAGGGTGACTCGGCAACAGAGAAGAGGCTGCAGAGGCTGCTACCTTCCTCAACCTGGATTTTTCTACCAAATAAAAATAAAATAACAGAACTTTCCATTAGAGAGGAGTCTTGGATGACTTTTTGAAGAATGAGATCATTCAGAGCACAGAATTCGGGGAGTGTAAAGCATGGGACGTGGGATACCAAGACAACAAAATGCTAATTATAGGAACAAAAGATCCATGTCTTCAGAGTGAGCAGGTGAAGTGCTATTTTCAGTTACCAGAGTTCTTTAGGGGCCAAAACACCAAGAACGCTTGTTCTTCAAGGTGGAAGTCAGATCTTGGATGACAAATTTTGAAAATATACTGTAGAGCTTTACACTTAAGCAAAATAAAATTTTATTTAACTTCATTTTATAATATAATTTAAAAAATTTAGTATCATTTTAATAAAGCTGCAGCAAAATTTGCAAGCAATCAAAACAACTGTTTTTGTATACTGAGTCAACATACTTCTAGAGCATTCCAAAACAATGATCTTGGGCAAGCCCCCTCACCTATACACAGAGTCTGCCCCAGTCCAACTTGTGTGGTTTGGTGAACAGCTTCGTAAGTCAGGGTGCCAGATCGGGACACAATACCTTAAAGGAAGAGAATTTTGAAATTTTAGGTTGTGTTCGTATGCAGACTATCACATGGTACCCTAAGTTACAAATATTAATGTATATAAAATCCATCCAATTTGTCTCCCAAAGAATTTCTTCAACTGATGAAAGAAAAAACTTTAAAGAAGTATTTCTTTCTAGACATAAAATATATTACTGGTAGGAATTATTTTATAACTATAAAAGTAGTATAAGATCAAAACCAAATCTTAAGAGGTTCTTAAGATTCTGCTCAAAGTAACAGGACAAAAAAGATTAGACTTGGGGCCAGAGCAATAGGACAGCGGGTATGACATTTGCCTTACACCTGGCCAACCCGGGTTCGATTCCTGGCATCCCATATATGGTCCCCCATGCACCACTAGGAGTAATGCCTGAGTGCAGAGCCAGGAGTAACCCTTGAGCATTGTCAGGTGTGACTCCCCCCAAAAAATAAATAAAAGTGTTAGGCTTAAAGCTACTATTAAACCACCAAAAACTTAAGCCTGCAGAACTAGCAATAATCACATTTACCAATGACTTCTACCTTCCTCAGGATTATTTTTCTAATAATTTCCAAATATAGGGGCCAAAACAATATATTTAGGCAGCAGATACGGTGCTTGCCTAAAACAGGGGCAGGAGAGATAGTACAGCATGTAGGGCACTTGCCTTGCACACGGCTGACCCTGGTTCAATCCCTGGTACCCCATATGGTCCCTCAAGCCCTCTAGGAGTGATCCCTGAACACAGAGCCTGAAGAAAGTCCTGAGCACCGACAGGTGAGGCCAAAAAGACAAAAGGAAAAAAAAGAAAGAAAAAAAAGAAAAAAAAACTGAAGTACACCACTGATAAAATAAAATATATATAGTCCACATTCCCTGAAATTATATGCTGTATCATCAAGAAAACTCAAATTAAAACCATCTATCACTTTGCTCTCAGAATGGCTATAATTAAAGACTAATAATACTAAACATTCCTGAAGATGTGGCACAAACAGAAATATCTCTTTGGTCTCCAACAAAAAAGCTGATCATAGTTCCACCTTATGACTCAGTCCCTCCTTACCCTTTTCACTCAAGTGAATGAAAATATGTCCAAAAAAAACTTTAAAGAGTTGAAGAGTTTGTACAGCAGGTAGAGTGTTTACCTAGCACATGGTGGACCTGGGTTTGATCCCTGATATCCTATATGATCCCCAAGCACTGCCAGGAATGATTCCTGAGTGAAGAGCTAGGAGTAACCCCTGAGCACTGCTGGGTGTGGCCCCAAAACAAACTAACCAAAAAAACTGCACAAGTTAACAAAGAACCAATTTTAATTGTAATGTAAGTGCCAAACTAAGCTTATCAAAAAATATGCAAATAAAAAAAACTGCACAAAAATATTCACCATAGCTCAATCCTAGACATAACATAATATAACCGATGAAAGCACAAACAAACTGTAATACGATCAATAAAGGAAAATTAATACTGATCTGTGCAATACATAGAAGAATCCAAGCAGGAAAACAGTAAAAGAACCGCTCCAAAATAAGTTCACTGAGTCTGCAAAATTGTAACTGCTTCTCAAACTCAATGATGGAGACTACAAAACTTTCTGAAAAATTCCACAAAAGTTACATTCAAAAGAATCTGTCTTGCACAGTCACAAATTCCTTTTACAAGTTTTAAATACGGGGTGGGGGCGGGAAGGAGAGAAACTTCCTAAACCTGTAATAAACTCACCAATTCTTCCTTTCTTGTGAATATGACCAGGCATGATACCAATTTTGCATTCTGCGGGCTGAAAAAAAAAAAAAAAGAAAACAACAGTTTCAGAAAAGTGCCAAAACTGTATCACTCGCAGGGACACAGAGTGGACAGGGACGGGACGGCTTGAGGCCTGACTAGCCGTGGGAGAGACGTGCCAGCCAGAAGCTCCTGTTTCACTCACATTGATGACTCCAGGGCAGTTGGGCCCAATCAGCCTGGTCTTTCCCTGGCGCAGCAGTTTGTGCTTGACCCGGACCATGTCCTGCTGCGGGATACCCTCGGTGATGCACACCACCAGGGGCATTTCCGCCTCGATGGCTTCATCGATGGCCGCAGCAGCAAAGGGTGGAGGGACGTAAATGACAGATGCGGTTGCTCCTGTCTGCTCTTTGGCCTGCAATGCGAGTCACAAAGCACTTCATTAATGGTTACTGTCAGACACTCAGTTCGATGCTGTGATGGCAATCACGTCTTTTTTTTTTTTTTTCGGGGTGGGGGGGGTCACACCCAGGGATGCTCAGGGGTTACTCCTGGCTCTGCACTCAGGAATTACTCCCGGCGGTGCTTGGGGGACCATACGGGATGCCAAGGATCGAATCCAGGTCAGCTACGTGCAAGGCAAACGTCCTATCTGCTGTGCTACCACTCCTGCCACTAGCAATCACGTCTTAAGAGAGCTGGGAAAGAACAGCCGGGAGACAGGAGATTTCATTGTTGCCACACACATGATGGCCGCAATGGTGTCAGAAAGGAGCAGAGTCAAGCCTGGCCTCTCCCTGCCCCTGAGAAGGCGCTTCTGAACACCCCGGCCCTCAGTAAACCGAGAATGGTACCTGACTAGCACTGAGTGCCCCTTGACTCCGTGAACACAGTTACTCACCGTGTTTTAAAGATTCTGTCCCACCTATCCCATCCCAATGTGCCCCCAAGGAGAGAAAGAAGTGGCACTCCTCAGAACTCAGCTCTCAAATGCCCATTTAAAAATGTATCACACTCAACAGACATTGTCAGGAGAGAGAACAAGGATGAAGTGGCTTTTAGGGGAGGTTCCCAAGGGGTGCTCAGGGAGCTCCAGGGACCCCTGCCAGCAATTCTCTACCAAATAGGTGAGAGGTTCCTTGCCAGGGTTCAAGGACAAGGTACTGCTCAGGGCACTTGGTGCCACGGATTCCATGAGCCACCCCAGCAATGCTGGAGGCGTCCAGGGCCACGCCCAGCAACGTGCAGGAACCACGTTACAAACCAGACTGGCCACAGGCAAGGCAAGTGCCTGAAGTCCTAAACTATCTCCATAGGCCTCAAGTGCTTTTGTTTTGCGAACATTTTTGCTCTGTAGCACTGTAGCACTGTTGTCCAGTTGTTCATCAATTTGCTCAAGCGGGCACCAGTAATATCTCCATTGTGAGACTGTTGTTACTGTTTTTGGCATATCGAATATGCCACGGGCAGCTTGCCAGGCTTTGCCGTGTGGGCAAAATACTCTCAGTAGCTTGCTGGGCTCTCTGAGAGGGGCGGAGAAATCGAACCTGGGTCAGCTGCGTGCAAGGCAAACGCCCTACCCGCTATGCTATCACTCCGGCCCATTTCTGCTCTAAATTTATTAAAAGCAAGCTAAAAAGCGCACACAGGGATGGCCGTGGGATGAGTCATTAGGTTCTAGTCTACACCACTCTTACGATGCAAAGCACTAATAGACCATGAACTTGGCTGCAATTCTTCCGTCATTGGACAAGCCTGCATTTGGTCTTCATCTGTCTTCATCTGTATACAGCCACCGTCTGGCTTCCCAGCCTGGTGGGTGACAGTGTCTCTTCTATGTGTGGGAATCCCCTGGAGACAGGATTGGTCAGGAATTCCCGACTCTGCCCTGTTCTGCGAGAGCTCAGACAGGCCTCCCGCAAGGCTTCACAATCGCTATACTTAGTCCATTCAACCCACGGGGGTCAAGACCTAACAGCATGAACAAGGCCCCACAAGTAAGATGGGGCAGAGCCAAGAACCAAACCAATTTGACTGAAAAGTGTTAAATGACAGCACAACTCTCTGCCTAGAAAGGTAAGAAGATGAATTAAGATAGAAGTCAGGGGCCAGAGCGGATAGCACAAGGGTTAAGGCCCATGCCTTGTATGCAGCCGGCCCCAATTATGGCCCCGAACACCGCTGGGTATAGCCCTAAAGAACCCCCCCTCCCCCAGAACCAGTGGGGTGGTCCAGGTAATCCGGCACTGCAGTCCCCAAGAATCACCAGGTTGTCACACCTTCTTGCTGAACTGTGGGCCGAGTTGGTCACGAACCACTAGGTGAGGCCCCTGGGAACCCAGAGCATAGCTGGAAGGATCCCCAACCCCTCTCCGCCCCCCCAAAAAAAAGATAAAAACTAAAGCTGAAATGCAGGGAGCAGGATGGGGGCACTCAGACAATAGTGGCAGGAAACGGACATTCTGGTGGCGAGGGCAGTGTTGGATGCTGTAAACCAGAAGGCTATGCCTGGGGTATTACCATGGATACAAGCACACACTAGGCTGAAGGACATGCAGCTAGAGCCCAAGTGGGGCAAAAGTGAGAGACGGTGTCTGAGTACCATCCCTGTAGGGGCCCGAATGCTCCCTGACACCCAGGCACCTTCTCCAGCACGTCCCTAATGAAGAAGGCTCCCAGCAGCAACAGAGCGACCCAGTGAGCAGCCACACAGCTGCCAGGGCAGAAAATGGTTCAACAACAACTAATCAGAGTGATAACAGAGAAGAGGGGACACAAGACATAAAATGAGGCTCCAGCCAAAAGAAGTCAGGCCATACACGTGAGCTATTTTATGGGACATATATCCCACAATTCTGGAGGCTGAAAATACCACCGGAAGCGAAAGGGACAATGGTCTGCAATGACAAGTGACAGTGGATGGGAGGTATCCAGCTTACTCATGCAGAAAGCTCTTTGCAACAGCAAAAAACGGCTAAGAAATAATTGTGTTTCAAAGAACTAAGGAATAGTCTAAAGGCCGTATCTGTGGCTTGATGGTTAATAAGCTTCACTGCCACTGTCACTGCCCTCCCGTTGTTCATCAATTTGCTTGAGCGGGCCCAGTAACGTCTCCATTGGAGACTTTGTTGTTACTGTTTTTGGCATATCGAATACATCACGGGTAGCTTGCCAGGCTCTGCCATGCGGGCGAGATACTCTCGGTAGCTTGCCAGGCTCTCCGAGAGGGGCGGAGGAATCGAACTCGGGTCAGCCATGTTGGCAAATGCCCTACCGCTTAGCAACAAAAATTTTCTTTAAAGGACAACACAAAAATGCTCACTATGGAAAACCTACATACAAGTACTATGAAAACCACTCTGTATTCTGAAGCCATGAAGTCAGTGAGAATTAAAGCAAAGGGCACAGAAACATTAAAAAAAAAAATTACAGCAAAGTCTTTAAAATGATTTTTCCACAGGGCAAAGGGCTACTGCAGCAGAGACAGAATGCAACTCACCTGTGTATGTTCAACGCCCGGCACCCCAAAGGGTCCTCTGATCACCCCCACAAGGAGTGAGCCCTGAGCACAAAGCCAGGAGTAAGCCCCAAGTACTGCTGGGTACAACTCAAAAACCAAAAACATAAAATAAAAGAAAGAAAGAAACTAGCAATATGAGAAAGTAGGAATCTTGACTTATGGATCTGACTATAACTCCAGTGACTCACATAGGATCCCATCCTACTCACTCTGAGCCATGCCAAGTCTGCCACTTCCCCGCCATGACACCATGCTCAGGACCCTCTCGTACAAGAAGTACCCTTGCCTTTAAAAGAGGGATAACAGTGCTACCTCTGAGGGTCATGGTAAGGTCTGAGTGAGGCCATAACCATGAAGCACCTAGCAGAGAACACGGCAAACAGCCCAATGGCAGGGAGTATCAGGGGCAGATACTGAGGTGTATATTACTAACGTGTAATAAATAATGTGATTTGTGGATGGAGACAGGGTCAGGAAAAGAGAGCCAAACAGAATTGAGCTCAAGGCACTTCTTAAGAGCTGACATGTGTCTATAAACAAGAAGGACACCGGCTGTGAAGAAAATGTCTCAAGGCAGATGCAGGCCAAGCCACAGGTTTTCACTGTGATGCAAATGTCTCTAAGCTCCCTGAAAGGGCACAAGTTCCCTTTCCTGCTTCTCTTTCCTTGCCGATTACCTCCTTCACAGAATTGAAGACGGGTAAGCCCAGATGCGTCTTTCCTCCTTTGCCCGGGCTGGTTCCTCCAACTATCTTGGTGCCATAGTCCAATGCTTGCTGGCTATGGAAGGTGCCCTGAGGAAAAGAAAAACAGCACAAGACTCGTGAGAACAGGCAGTCCGAGAAGGGTAAAGCAAAGTCGAAAACAAAAAAATAAAATGGGTTATTTCCCCAGAGTGTGACAATAACTCAGGTCTAGCCTTCTCAACAACTTAACTCAACTCAGACTGAAGCCTGAAGGAGAACACATCGCTGCAAAGCCAATGCAGCTGTTTCTGGCTTTGTTTTTGTGTTTTAAGGAGGTGAGGGAATCATCTCCCTTGATAAGGTTGTTCCTGATGCTCTCAGGTCCTGCAGTCCTTCAACTCACACAACCACCAACCTCGACTCTCCCTCACTCCACGCATTACTCTCAATTCTCCATCGACTCTGAAACTGCACAAGTACAGCCCAACAGAACTGGAGAAAAAGCAAGACCACACTAATCCTGAAACACAGTAACTGCTCACCCTGAGTGAGCCTGTGAGGCTTCTCAAGGAGTGTCCTGCGCTTCCCTATCCACTCCCCCTCCCTCAGCCTTCGCATTGACAGGTCTTTAAGACAAGTTGTTTGTAGCATCCCCTCCCCTTCTCATCAGATGCCAGTACTCCCCCTCCCAAACCCAGTCAGCTGAGGGGGTACCAAAATGTCTTAGGGATCAAAGACTCTTTCACAAGGTCTCTGGGGTCCCTTTTCCCTTCGATTCCCCTTTCTTTTTCTCTCTCCTTGGTCTTCTCTATGCCACTTGAATTAGTGCCCTTGGTAACCTCCATCTTTCTCATGGAAACAAATATTATACATATGCTGTGTGTACACACACACACACACACACACACACACACACACACACACACACACCGGGTCGAGATCTCTCCTCCCACACTCACTTCTTAGTCACAGTGTCAGCTGTTCATCTGACTTCACTACCTAGTAGGAGTCTCTCTCTTCACTCGCGTTTACTCCCTACACAGCCAACCCCATCCCCATTCCAGCTGAGGGCAACCGAGCTCCTAGCATGATCGGATGGGACAGACCATGATTGTTCTCCCCGTTCACAGCACATACTGCCCTCTCTTCGCTGTGACTCACACCTCAGCCCTTCTCCTGCCACCCCTTTGACCCACGTCACCAGGCCTCTTTGACAGAGGAGTGCCCATTCTCCCTCTCGGTCTGTTCTCAGACCAGAGCCAGAGAGATCCTGTTCAAACAGGGAAGATCATGCTCAACACTGCCAGTGGTTTTCCAGGTCGTTAAGCAAAAGCCAAACTCCTGATACTGGTCACCAAGTCAATAGTGAACTTGCCTTGACAAACCAGTGATCTTATCCACTGCTCTCCCACTGCCTCTCTCCCTACTAACAAGCTTCCACCTACAACAACACAGCCCTGCCTCCCTGGCCCCTTTGCCCAGCCTTTACTTCCCCTCAATGATGTATCTACCCCGTTAATACCCATGTACACTTTAGATCCAGACCCAGAGGTCAGGCTACCCCTGACCACTGAAAAAAGATCAGACCTTCCCGTCCCACTCCTACAATACCAGACACATGCCCACACCTTTCACTGGTTATTTCCATAGCATGTAGGCCCTATAACGTAACACGTAATGTACACATTGAGTGGGCTGCTGCGTTTCTCTCCTCTCACTGCGTCGAAGATGCAATGAAGGTAGTGATTTTTATTTCTTTTGCTTAGAGAGATGGCATCTCTATCAAATTAGAGAGTCTACACTCAATAAATATGAATGGATCTATATGTGGTCATTCTACAAAGACCTAAACATGTGGGCCCAACCAAGTTAAGTTCTATATAAAGGGATTAAAACTGGAGTGATAAGAAGGATTTCAAAAACTTCCTAGTTCAACTTCAGTTTTAAAATAGGAAAACCAGGGGCTGGAGAGATAATACACTGGGTAGAGCTCAATGCAGCTGACCACGGTTTGATTCCAGGCACTCTATGATCCCTTGATCCCTGCCAAGAGGATCCCTTGAGCCTCAGCACAGCATCAAGAATAAGCCAAAAGTCAAACAAACACAAAATAGAAAACTCAGCCCCAAACATGTTAACTGCTATTTCCAAATTCAGGGACTAGTTTGGGAAAGAATCCCAAGCTAGTGCCCCGGAGAGAATGTGCTATTCCAGGCTCTCCTTACTGGCCTGGAGTTAGTTAAACAAGGATACAAAAACACCCCAGAAGTGAGAAAAGGAAAATTTAATTAAAAAACTACTAAGAGTGATATTTGTAAATAAAAAGTGGTGAACTTTTCAAACAATAGGATACTGCTATGATTTAAAATATTTTACAAAAGTACTGACGTGCATCAGATTAGAAATTAAAACCAAACACCCAACTCAACTGCAGAGTTGGAGAACACTGACCCATGTTACTAGATTAACTCAATTGGACCAGTTTTTTAATCCTGAAATAGGCTAAAGAGGAATTTCATCAGACTTAAGTTTTCCCACTAGCATTTGCCCAGTTAACCATCGAAGCAGTTTAGCAGCAAACAAAATTCAATATTGGACTATCTAATCCACTCAGTAATCAAAACGTCCTTATTTAGATGTAGAATAAATATGCACACACACGCACACACACGCACGCGCGCGCACACACACACACACACAAAATCCTAATGAGATAAAATGCAGCTTTCCTAAGGTGCTAGCTCTACTTAGCAGCTCATCATGAGCTCTAGAATAAACAAATACTAATAAATTGGAGATAACTGAAGCGCTCAATTTTACTTTTTTTTTTTTAAGAAAAGTGGAGAAGAAACCATGTAATTGGACGTAACTGAAAAATACTGAAACTAACCTTGGATTTCAATATTTAGGTAAATCATCACCAAAATTAGGAAGTAGAGACAGTTCCAAATACACCATGGACAATGGTGCTTTAAAAGAAAAGTCAGAGGTTACATACAATGTTATAGGATCATATAAGGTTTAAAAGCAGAAAAACAAAATCATACACAATAAACTCAGGTGGAAAATCTGCCTTATCCAAAGATTTTAATACATGCAAACAAAATTAATATTAATCAAAAAGGGATTAAAATGACTTTAATTGGTGGGAAGAGTGACAAAACATACATCAAATCTTGAATACGTTTGTGTGAGCAAGAAAAATACCTAAAAAGATACCCATCATCTTGCTAAAAGAAGGGTTGCCTGAAGATTAAAATGGGAGAGAAAGGAGATGATATTGCATTTTATTGTGGACTCATAGACAGATCGCCTCAGATTTATAAAAACTCAATGACAGAGACAGGGGATAGGGAAAGCCATGAATATAAATGCATGAAGCAAATTAAAATACTTCAGGCCGTTCTGCCCGCTAGACTCCTGGAAGGCCATTTGCCAGGAGTGAGCGTGAGGCAAGTCAAGGCAGTTCCCCACAGCCTGCCCGCCCACCCCTACTGGCCCGCACTAAATAAAGATCTGTGTTGAACTGTATTTGCTGTTAGACAAGGCATAACCATGAGATTCCTACTTTACCTAGCTTTTGAAGAAACAATCATCTTTTCCAATGAAATCATGTTTTCCACTGAAGGAAAATCAGTGAGGTCACAGATGTTGAGAGTATGTGGTTTCCAATATTATATGCTCATAGAAAGGGATTTTTAAGGTAAGTTTAAACATATTTTCTATCTCAAACATCTTATCTCTTGAAATCCAACCCACTGCCATAGTGCATACTTTTCTACACTGATGATACAACTTTTAAAATAGAAAAATCAGAAATTTATAAATTTTAACTCATAACTTTATAATTAAGATGTTATAACTTTTGTAATATGAAATCAGTTCAATTTTTTTTGAATCTCTAGTACATATCTCTCAAAAAGTCTTGCTGCACGTACCTGCTTACCAGTGAAACCCTGGCAAATAACCTTCGTATTTTTGTCAACATACAGATGTTTTCGGGAAGCTGTATAGGAACAATGCCGAACTCCATTTGGTTGCACTGAGAAATAAGAAAAAATATATATATAAAACAAAACACATTACAACTTTTCTAAACATTTGAACCATAAATTTATTTAAGTGACCAAAAAAAAAAAAACCTCTAATGCAGGAACTTATCTTGTGATCCTGACAATTTCAAAGGACACTTTTTAATGAGACATACAGACTATAAACTTTTTTTAAAAAATCTACTCTGCTATTCTCCAGGACCCAGAACCAGTTTTCACTCCACAAAAAGAAAACTGACATTCAAAAACATGTAGCTCAAATTAAATCCAGATACTGAAAACTAGGTCGCATTCCTACAAATGATGTTTACTAAGCAACATCGGCTCTCCCCATTTGACCCAAGCTTTTAAAGTCAGTATCTGTAAACAACAGGTGAACTACTAGTAAGAACTATTTGTGACTCATTCCCCAATAACGACAATAATGTGAAAGTAAGCTTTACTATCAATGAAAATTACAAATTTAATATATTTCATATATTAAAGAAATAGGAAAGCTGTATAAAACAGATGACATGAAAAATAGGGCGAGGATGGAAATAAATTTTTAGTAAACAACCTCAACCAAAAGTATCTAAGCAGTTGCAAAATTCGGCTCCTCAGCTGGAGAGATGGGCCAGGGTTAAGGCACTTGTCTTGCATACAGATAACCCAGATTCACATCCCCAGAAACATATACAGTCCCCTGAGCACTGCCCAGGAGTGATCCTGAGCACAGAAACTGGAGAAAGCCCTGAGCACAAAAACTAAAGCTCAAGTCAGTTCCCACAGTTAAAGAATCAATAAGGAGAACACAGATGAATTGAAAGCTGTGGGTAGTTCATGACTAGCAAAAGAGAGTGTCCACCTGTGGCCTGTCCCCAGTCCTTCAAAGTGCCAGGGCTTCCTGCCACTGACAGCCCATGAAGCAAGCCCTGAAGAGGAAAAACAAGCTCTAGCACAGCTGTCTAGGGTCAGCCCCAGGCTTTCTCCCCTGCACACCCAGAACGCTCTCCTAGAGCCCCACACTAACTTGCTTCTGGCCCTTCAATTGTCTTGGATTCACACACTGACCTCAGCGTCTAGCAACACAGAATTGTGGAGCCCCAGTATCACTCAGGAGGAGCGAGGCCCAGATTTCACTCACCAACTAACCTAACTACAGCTGCGTGCTTGGGCGAGACTAGAGGACTTATCTGACCTGCTGCCCCCTTCGCAGAGGGGAATAAAAAAAATCAGCACCCCCTTCCTGGAAATGACCCTCTTTAAGTTCAATGATCACACGTGATCTCCTCATTACTCACAGACCCAGACTCATCCAAACTTACTTTCATGTACGCGTGAACTAAAAGCTTGCCATAACCTTTGAGTTATGCCAACTCCCAAAAATATATGCTCAAAAATAAGAAGTGAATTCCTGATCACAAACCAGTAGGATGCCAGACAAGGCACTGAAATGAAAGGTTGAAATAATTAAGTACACGTCCCTGTGCCCGGGCTTGTCATAATAATTTATTCAATCAGCATTTGGGGAGCCATGTCACACTACAAAGCGAAATGTCAAGGATAAAGTGTTGAGAAAGTGTGTTAGCCTCCAGAGAACTCCCAGTCTATTTGGAGTAACATAGAGCGGGCACAGTTGCAGTGTGAAAAGTCCTGTGGTAGGAATAAGCCTTCGACATCACAGGAAGAAACACTCTCTACCCCACCCTGAAGCCTGTGTGTTATTAGGGGTGCGAGGGAGGGAAAGAGGCTGGAGTGAGGTAGCTGGCTACAGAAGTTCACACCCCAGATCCCTGATACTGTACCCCACCTCCGAAAGGAAGAGGCTTACCTGTCCTGGTCAAACTGAGGATTTGGTTCCATGGCTAAAAATCTCTCTGTAACTTGTGATTCTTCACCTCTGCCTCCGTTTTGACCCCAACCACCCAACTTTGCTTCCAAACACTCAAGCTGGTATTAGCATCTGTATAGCAGTGAGTATTTTCACTTCATAAGTTTATAAATTTTTCATTAAGAAAACAACAACAGAAGGCTCCCAATAAAGAACCAAGGTCACTGTATTCTTTCTTTCTTTCTTTTCTGGAATACTGCTCTAAGACATGGGTCAAAGGAATAAAAAATGCCAGAAAAACAAAACAGCCTCTGAAACTCGAGGAAAGTTCTGCCACATGCCCACAACCCCACAGTGATGTTACACGGCACCACAAATGACGACCATGGACCATCACCCCAGACTCACCCACACTCAAGAGAAACCTCCTCTTTCCCTGGCTCTTTCCTTCAAGCACATTCTTCCAGCTGCCAGGGCAGGGACGAGGGCCAAGGCCAGCTGTGCACGTTGGTTTTACAATTCTCCTCACCCAGATTCCTAACTGCACGCTCAAGCGACACACACTCCCGTGAACCAAGTCTGTCTCCTGCCACTCCAGGCCACCAGGTCACATCGGGTGGATGGATTTCAGGCCATACTATTATTATACACCAATGATGTCTTACCCTTGATGTCATCACAGCATCAAGGAAAAATTTTTTTCCTTTCATTGTCTGATGGCATTTAGATGGAGATCATGCAAAATATGCTTAAATTCTATTTCAAATTAACCACATTTTAAGACACTGCTGGGGGCTTGTGGGGGGGTGGGGGTGGGGACTTGGGCATCAGTCCCGGCAATACGCGTGACCCAACTGTGTGAGCCAAGAGGTTTAAGGCTTGGGCCCAATGGTGCTGGGGTTGTCAGGACCGCAGCCAGCAGTGTCTGGGATGGGACTCTGTGCCTCTAGCCTTATGAGCTGACTATTTCATCTTTTAGCAAATGAAATCCAAGGATAGGAATGACAGATAATAATAAAAACATTACTATTTCTATTGAGAAAGGAAAGATAGCAAAATATACCACCAGCAGAGTTAAAGGCAGTGACACCTCAGGAGACTGATTTTCTAACACTTACCAAAGAATTAACCTATGTGAAGAATGAACGGAAAAGAGACCAAGAACCAAACAGAGGGATGGAGAGACAGTACAGCAGGTAAGGCACTTGCTTTGCATGCATGCAACCTGGATTCGATCCCCAGCACCCCGTATGGTCCCTCAAGATCTGCCAGGAGTGAACCCTGAGCACAGAGCCAAGAGTAAGCCCTGAGCCATCAGGTATACCCTAAAAACTTAAAAAACACCTAACAGAAAAACAGATAAAGGATATAAACAAAAAACACAATTGACAACAAACAAATGGAAAATCAATATATGGTGAAGCATTTATCTAATTTTACCAGCAATTTTTAAACTGCACATTTTAGACTGAATATTAGCAGTGAGTCCTGAGGCTGGCCACCTGGAAGAATTTCCCAGTACTGCAGATTGATGTCGCCACCCTCTGTCCAGGCATGTCCAGGCAATGTGGTGCAACCTTTTAAGGTTCCTGTAAGTCAGGGAGCCAAATCTTGGGACTGCCTCCTGGGAACAGCTGAACAGACCTGGGTTAGAGTTTAAGCTGTGAGTGCACCAGTCATGTGACGTGGCCAAATCTTTTGATTTTCCTTAGCCTCCACCTGCAAATGGAACAGTAGCTGCTCCCAAGGAAACTGCGATGCTGATAAGAAGACCATGCAGGGAAACTGGCTAATAAGAAGTGGGTTCATAACCCACATGATCACCAAAGTCAATCATTTCCAAGTGCACAATTCATACATTAAAATCAAGAAAGTCAAACTAGAAATTATTTGTATCTGCTCTCATGCATACCCTATGTTCATCTGTAAACATACTAATCCATAAGCACATATAAATATGTAGTATGCATACATACCTATAAAATTGTAATGTAGGTTTTTTTTTGGGGGGTCACACCCGGCAATGCACTGGGGTTACTCCTGGTTCTTCACTCAGGAGTTACTCCTGTCAGTGCTCAGGGGACCATATGGGATGCTGGGAATCGAACCCGGTTGAGCTGCGTGCAAGGCAAATGCCCTACCCGCTGTGCTATCGCTCCAGCCCCATAATGTATATTTCTAAAGGTATAGCCTCACTGTAAAAAATGGAAATAGAATTATTCATTTATTAATACTATGAACAAATAATACTGTGAATAAAATTTTAAATACACACAATAAAAATAGAATAAGGGCTAGGATAGGGCCAACTGCTACTCTACTGTATTATCACTGATACAGAATTTTAAGACCACATCATTGTGCCAGGCCACCTGCCAGGGACTAGTGGCTCGGGAGTGAACACGATGGACTCAGGCCCCATTCATAAGAAAGATGCTGCTCTAGGAGACAGTCACAACATTACTAGTGTTAGGGACAGAAAGATAGTACAGTGGATGGGCGTTTGCCTGGCATGCAACCAACCTGTGTTTGATCTTCAGCATCCCACATGGTCCCCTAGTCCTGCCAGGAGTGATCCCTGAGCACAGACAGGTTTGCTTCCACCCATACACATGCACGCACGCACGCACGCGCGCACGCACAAACACACACACACACACACACACACACACACACACACACACATTACCAGTGTTTCCCAAAATGAGTGATGGGGCACTGAAATAATGCAAGGGGGTCTGAGGCAGCACTGGGTGCAAATGAGAAGCACTTTGTTTGTTTGATTAAAGAAGGTAATTTCCCAAGGGATGCTGAGAGATTTATCTAAAAACAGAAAGTAGTAAGCAGACTAACTAAATCTGGGGAATGTCTGCATTAAACAAAGAAGCAAACAACTAGACAGTACAAAGAGCAATAAAAGCTACAAAAGAAAGAGTCTGAGTAATCTGAGAAAGATGATGCTCTCAACGGGATGAATGATTTGAATCAGTCACAATGGGTTCTCTTGTACAAAGAAAGCAGTCACATCATGCATCAGACATTGCAGTCCTAAAGATGTGAACAATGGCCAAGAACTCCTGCCCAGAAAGGATGCAGACCATGGCCTGTATGACCAGGACCATGCTTAAACTAAGAACCAAAGACTTCATGAAAACACTCATGCTCCAACTCACCTCTCAAATGGTGTCCTTGCTAGTTATTTTGGTTGCACAAGCAAAGTTAATCAATGCACACTCATTTAAGTGTATACTCATTATTCATATGTATGGCAGATCTGTAATACACAGATTCTGTAATTCTGGTCCTTATCTATAGGACCTTACAATGTAGCAGAGTACTCCCAAACCCAAAATCTGCTATTCAAATGCAAAATTCGGGCCAGAAAGATAGTATAGCAGGTATGGTGCTGCTTTGCAGAGACCGACCCAGGTTAACTCCCTGCATTCTATAGTCCCCTAAGAACCACCAGGACAGATCCCTGAGTACTGAGCCAGGAATGAGCCCTGAGCACTGCCAGATGTAGCACACAAAAAAAGAATTAAAATGAAAAATTATAAACTTAGTATTTATTCACAAATGAGATTTACCTGACTAGAAGTATTGTTATTTAATCAAGTCTAAAACATAACTGATTTTTAGAAGAAAAAAGACTGTCATTTTATTTCAATAAACCACCCATCATTTGCTGCATCCCATTTTTGGAAATCCTTACTATTTAAAAAAAAGTGCATATACAATTTCTTATCCTTGGTTCACTGTCACTGTCCTCCAGTTGTTCATCGATTTGCTTGAGCGGGCCCAGTAACGTCTCCATTGTGACACTTGTTACTGTGTATGGCATATCGAATACGTCATAGGTAGCTTGCCAGGCTTTGCCGTGCGGACGAGATACCCTCAGTAGCTTGCTGGGCTCTCTGGGAGGGCGGAGGAATCGAACCTGGGTCACTCACGTGCAAGGCAAACGCCCTACCTGCTGTGCTATCGCTCCAACCCTCTCCCCCTATAAATTATTTTGAAGGCCCTCATTTATATTTCTGTGGAAGAACAAGTTTAAAGGTCAAAATAAGTTTCTCTAGGCTAAACCAATTCATTTAGATAAAGAAATTTTGTATTTCTGAAATAAAGATTTCATCCTTAAAGGAAATAGCATGAGATACTCAAATGTGAAGCATCAGCATCAGATACTTAAATCTGAAGCATCACTGTCCAGGGCCTCCTTTGCTAAGGAACACCCGAGAGATATTCGATCCCTGGCACTGTATAAGGTTCCCAGCACCGCCGGGGTGATCCATGAGCACCCCTCAGCATGCCCCCCGCAAAAAACTTCTTTTTAAATGAAAAAGAAAAGTTTATTTATCTCCCCATTTCAACTGTATTTCTATCACATCCCAACCTCCCCAACACACACACACACTCTCTCTCTCTTTTTTAATAAGCAACAAAACTGTGCTGAATTTTGCTGGGTCTTTTTTGGTTAGTTTTGCTCAGGAATTTCTAAATATTCTAGGCTATCCCTCAACAGTACCAACAGGGCTCTGGAAGGCATCTAGAAGAATTTGGGGTTTTGTTTTTTTCCTAACTCACATCAATATTGCAACACTTTTGACCTTCAACACAAAACCAACCATCATCAACTAAAACTGAGAGAATACAGCAACATTCCTCGCCCCCCAGATTGTAAACTAAATTCCAAGCGTAAGTAATTTGTGACAGTCTTTTTAAAAAGTTCACAAGGATATGTTCTTCTAGGTAATCTTCCTTCCTTCTTTAACCTCTCCTCCGAAAACAGCAAGAAGCCTATGGATGTGAGGGTTTTTCAAAATCGCAGAAGAGTAAGACAACAGGAGGAAAAAGGCCTGTTAGCCTCCTTGTTTCTATTTTTTGGTCAACAAAGCCCTCAAATGCCCTTTGAATTGTATAAGGTTCTCCAGAAAACTTTCCTAAATAAACTGAACTTTTTTCTACTTGCCAAGTGATTTGTCCCCCAGTGATTTGGCAACTAAATGCAGCTTTTGAGAACACACTCATCACGCATTTTGAAGAAAATCTTCAAGAAATAAAGTTCAGCCAGATTCAGTACTAAAAGAGAAAAAGGGAGCAATGGTAAAGAAAGGAAGAGAGAGAAAAAAAACTAAATTTAGTTCGGTGTATACTATACTCCAGGAGCTTACAGAAATCTCTTCAAGGAATTTGCACTGTGAATCAACAGCCTAGCCTGTCATTTCTAGGATGCACCCTTCCCCCCCGCCCCCCACTTTTAACATCTCTTGAATTAAGAAGCATCCAACTGGCATGTCACATTTATATTTCATTAATAATCCCTGGGAAACGAAAGCACAGTGCATTTTACAAGTATCAGTGCCTCGCCTTCATTATATTAGTTTCAAGTCATCTGGAACAAGTATCCCAAGATTATTACAGAGACAGAAAGGGAAGAAAAGCCAGACTTCAAACCCTGATGTGGCTCATTCCAAAGTCTCCTCATACATTAGCTATCTCACAAACACAAAGACTTTGAACACAGCAAGAATTTCCAAGGGTCAGCGTAACTCAAAGCCTGGAAACAAACCTTGGGTAATAATTTTTCAGTTACAGCAGGGTTTGCCCGCGCCCAGTGTAGACAACGCAAACTATGCTGGTCAACATTATTTGCAACCACCCCAACGCTTCTCGGAGTCTCCCCTCCTCCCTACTGGTCCCCAATCTAGCAGGAGCCCGGTGAGATTAGGGTTCGTGTCCAAAGGCCGGATTTGTCCCCAATTTCCTACTGGGACATCCTGCCCCTGCCCCTCGACCCTTCTGCTCGCCCCCCCACCCCCAGCTGAGACTATCCCAGACCTCGCACTCTCATGCAAGGCCCAGTGGACATGCACCTCCCGCCCTGCACCCAGCGAAGCTCCCTCCAGCCCGTGGGGATCCCCGCTTGGGACGGACGCCCGCCGTCCCCGGACCCCGGAGGGCCCAGTAGTGAGCTCAGGACCAAGACGCTGAATCCCCGCGGGGAGGTGGGGGGCGGGGGAAACGAAGCAGGAACTCGCGGGAAGCCCAGAGAGAGCGCGCCGGCGGGACTCACGGAGGAGGAAGCGTGACAGGTGACGGGCGAGCGCGACGCCGCTGCTGCTGGAGGCCATGGTCGTGGTGGCAGCTGCAAAGGGCTGCGGTCATTCACCAATGACACTCCCAGGCCCCCGGGGGCCTCGCGGGCGCCAGGCACGGAAGCGGGCGTCCAGGACAAACGCCTGAAGAAAGTGCTCTCGCGACAGGCCTCTTCGCCAAAGACTGGAATCACAGGTTGAGAAAAATGGACAATTCTAGTTTTTTTAAAAAAAACAAGTAAAATTAAAAGTGTTTTGTAGCTCCAGAAATGTAAGTTTCACTCAACATTATTGACACGGGCAGCTAAAGGGGAAACCCAGGCCAGGCTGTTGCGGCGCGTGGCATTATGGGAAATGTAGTTTTCAGGCTGAGGCTCATTGGCCGCAGAAACGGGAGCTGCCCGGAAAAGAGGTGGCTTGGAAAGGGTCTGTTTACAGCAGGAGGTGAGCGCGAAGAGGGGTGACGAAACAGCGAGGTGTAAAGAGCAGTGCATAACTTCCCGAATCTCTTAGCCAACCTGCCCCTTAGGTTTTTTTTTTCCCCCGTGTGGTTCTGGAGAAGATAAGAGTTAACACCTGACCTCGCAGGGACTACAGATGTTAATTTCCGATCTAAACCCTGAGTTTAGCTAGTGTCCAGTAAAGGGAAGGACGAGGCTGGAAGATGCAACAGCTAACTCACTGACTCTTCATTTGTTGAAATATGGGTGTTTGGGTTAAACTTGGTGCCTTGCCACTCTTGTTTAACGCTAAGCGAACGGGTAACCCTTCCCCAAGATCCTGTAGAACTGGAGTTAGGAGTCAAAAGTGACTAGTCTCCGTTTGAACAAAACTGTTTACCTTTTCTTAGAACATGAGGAGTAACCTTAGAGAGTTCTGGAGAATAAACAATACGTAAAGTCATCCTCCTTGCTCCTCACATCCCTCATTATCAAAATTTTAACCTGATTTACCTAAGTAGTCATAATTTTGCCATGCTGTGTGATGTGAGTGGGATTACCCAAGTATATTACCCAAGAGTTCCTCTCTGACCCAGATATTACCAGTGCCAGGTTGAACCTGACTGTACACAAAACCCCTCCCTCATTTAAATAAATGAAATTCTTGCTGTCTCTCGCCTTCATTTTAATAGATCAGTGGTTTCCAGTTAGGTCCAGGATGAAAAATTACCTTAATTTCTTTCTAAACCTTTACATCTAATAGTTATATATCCACTTATATGTAAATGGCAAAATGCATGGTGATTAAAATAAACATAATTTTTTTTTATGTAGGAGTACTGCTATTTATTCAGCCACTGATTAGCTGACTGAATTGGGTATGAACTCCACCTTTTTATTTTCATAATTTTATTTATTTTTATTCTTATATTTATTTATTGAATCACTGTGGGAAAAGTTACAAAGCTTTCAGGTTTAAGTCTTGGTCATACAATGATCGAACACCTTTCCCTTCACCAGTACTCATTTTTCACCACCAAGAACCCCAATATACCCCTCTCGTACCCCTCCCAATGCCTGTGAGGCAGATGATTTCTACTTAACTCTTCTCTACATTGGTTACAGTCATTATTTCAACAAAAGATGCACCATTATTGTTTAGAATTTCCCCTTCCAACAATCAGAATTGCTGAAAACGCATTGTGAAATACTTTGTCTTCTATAGGTGGTTATGAGAATCATATAATGTCACGTGGCCGCCATCGAGGCCATGCAGATTTTGGATTTCTGCAAAGAGCCAGATAATTACGAGATTGGTTTCTGTGCATCTGGTGTTATGGCTGTGCCTGAGAGCCGCTCATGGGGAGCAACTCATGACCTCGGTAGGGTGTGAAGGACGAGTCAGTACCGACCCCCTTCCTATGAGACTGCAGTTGCCCCATCACCACAGGCTCATACCTGGCTTTCCTATAAGCTCTGAGGCGGAGGTGGTGGCCACCTTCCTGCTGGGGGTAAAAAAGGCGGAAGGGAACAACACCCTTTCCCTCCCCAGGAGGCATGGCACCAGAGTTTAACACATGGTCCATTAACTTTTCTGCCGCAAACTTCTGGGCTCTGGATTAAGTCCTTTTGCCTCTGGAGCCATGGCCGTGCCAGAGAGCTGCTCGTGGGGGGCAACTCGTGACCTCGGTAGGGCGTGAAGGATGCCCCCCTTCCCATGAGACTGCAGTTGCCCTGTAACCGCCGGCTTATACCTGGCTTTCCAATAAGCTCTGAGGCAGCGGCCACCTTGTATGCGGTCCAGATGCATTTCTACCAAAAGCCACTGGGCTTCGAGATTTGTTTCTGAGTCTCTGGGACCTTCACCGTTCTGAGCCTCTGGGACCATGACCATTAATCAGCTTGATCAGGAGCCAGAGAGGCCGTTTGTAGGCAGCGACTCGGGATCTCGCTGGAATGGGGAGGAAAGGGCCGGCTCCACCCTTATCTGGTGAGGCCCTGCATGTCTCGTCACTGCAAGCCCAAACCTGACCAACCAGTGGCCTCTGGAGGAAGGCAGTCACCGGACAGTCAAGAGGAACAGGCCAAGGCACAAAACCTATTCCCACCTGGAGTGGCCCAGTGCCAGTAACCCACTGCAGGAACAGGACGCATTTCCACCGAAAGCCTTTGGGTTCCGAGATTCACCTCTGAGTCTCTGGGATCATGGCCGTCAAACAGTTCGATCAGGAACCAGAGAGGCCATGCCTCCAATTATATAGATGAGCCAGAGGTGGTTTGTGGGTGTGTCTCCCACATACCCAACTTTTGGCCATTTACTTTCTTGGTAAACTTTGCCCCAAGTTTTTGGGGTCTGTCCAAAGGCACAGCAGCAATTTTGGGGTATCTGAAAGTCTGACGGTGCCATCAGGCTGCAGATGCACTCGCCTCACAGGTGCAGATTGACCTGCTGGCGGCACCATACTCCTCCCCCCCCCAGCCCCCCCCGATTTATACTGTCACTGTCCTCCCTTTGTTCATCAATTTGCTCGAGCAGGCCCAGTAACGTCTCCATTGTGACAATTGTTACTGTGTTTGGCATATCGAATACGTCACGGGTAGCTTGCCAGGCTTTGCCCTGAGGGTGAGATACTCTTGTAGGGCGAGATACTCTTGGTAGCCTTTCAGGCTCTCCAAGAGGGGCAGAGGAATCGAACTCAGTTCAGCCATGTTAGCTGCATGCAAGGAAAATGCCCTACATGCTGTGCTATCGCTCCAGCCCCCATGATTTATATTTTAATGAAATTTTTTATTTCCACAAACACTGAGGTTTTATTGTGCAGTAATGTATCTCTGGCCCTCTGAAACATCTGACACAAAGAACTCATTTGGTAAATTGACTTGAATTGATATAGAAGAGAGATAGCATCTTTATTTATTTAGGGAGTCCACACAATGTTTGATGAACCTAAGACTATTTTTATCCTTAATAAAAACTGCACCTTCACCCCATAGAGACAAAGGAAACAGGTTAAGCAAGATTAGGAATATGACCCTTAAAAAGGAATCACCTGGAGACCTAGGTGGTGCCTAATGATAAAGTGGGTGACAGGGGCCTTGCTGGATCCCAGCGGCAGATGATAGTTATCTCAGCATCTTCTCAGCCATTCTTAGAATGGCCCACATTTTTAGAATATAATAAATCTCACCTACCTACCTTTGCTCAAAAGGTATAAAAGGAGAAGGACCTCAGCCTTTCATCAGAATCCTGCTTTTGAAGAACCCTCCCATAATCTGGGAGTTTCCCTGCCTTCTTTTCCCATCCTGTTTCCCTAAAAAAATCTTTTACTTAATTTGCCATTTGATCTTCTGTTCCTTGCTTTCAATTTTGACAGCTTGAAGACAAGAGCCTGAACATCTGCGCCCATTTCAACAGTTTCACTGTTCATTGTTTATTGGTGTACAACCACTGAAATACATACTATCTATACCATGCATCTTTACTGATTTTAGGTTGAAATTCTAATTCTATCACTACATATGTGATCTCTGGTTCTTTCTTTTCTTGGTGAGATGAGGATGAAATTCTCTAGCCCATAATAATATCTGTGAGCAGTTATTGAATGAAAATGTAATTCTTAATACATTAAAATATTCAATGAATGAAGGATAATATCGGCGGGGGGGGGACATTTTGAAGTATTTACTAATGTAAACAACCAATTATGGAATAGGACATTTTCATTTGTCTCAAAACATTAACTAATTTTCAGAGGGTAAAGGGCCCCATATACCAGGCAAATGTAAGGGCCCAAGGGACCATATGAACCACAGGATCAAACTGAGGTTGACATAGTCATGCACCTCAATCTCTGTGTTATCTCTCTGATACTTTTTCATATTTTTAATAGATAACACCAAACCTGTCTGTCGGTTATTGCCCATACACCACAGCCATTCAGATAAACAAAAGATGGTCCCTGCAAGCTGCAGATATTTACAAGCCAACCTTGGTGCCAAAAGTGACCAAACAATACTCAATGTGAACTTGGAAGGCAGACCAAAACATAGACATTTTATACTCGGATATGTAAAAAGAACTGAAAGGAACAAGCCAAGAAACTAGAGATGAAATTCTGAGTTTTTTCTAATAAAATGGGAGGGGGCACTCAACAGGATGTCCCGAGGCTAGGGTCCTTGCTCCCAGCATCCTGCAAACAAAGCCTCCAGATCCAGAGGCACAAGCTGCAGGTTCTCAGGCTTCTGTGTCCCTGCCCTTCTAACCCAAGGGTCCAAACCAAAGGCACAGGACAACAGGCTGGGGGGGGGGGGGGGGTGACATTTTGGTTTTTCGGTGTACAAAGGACATGGATGGCCCCAGGACTGAAGGCACCATGGACCCTCACCTCATACCTCCCCGCAGCCCCACAAGCAAGCTGGTTCAATGCAAAGGCACAAGTCAAGAAACCGGAGATGAAATTTTGTGGTTTTCCTGACAAAATTAAGTATTATATATACAGTGGATTTCAGGGCTGGACCTTTTTTTACCCGGAGTTTGAATGAAATGTTTGGAGTAACTGTGGTGGATGAAGTCCATAATTGATAGAAATTTGGGTCTAATTAATCCTTAGATGCTGGTCAACGCTACTGTTGCATTCTGCGTCTCTCTGCTTTCTAAGTGCTGCTCATGTTACATGAAAATCACACACC